CCAAGAGACCTCTCGATTTCGTGAAGAAAGAATTCTGGAGACGTGTTGTATCAGCCGTCTCGTATTCTCAAGGTTTTGTCCGAAATTACTACACTGCGTCTTGAAGGAATTGTTTCCCAAGGTCACTGAAATCATAAACACCCGCGTAGAATTATCGATGCGACCTGATGGATCATCGGACATGTTTGTAGTCATTACGCATTCCAGATTCGAAAGAATGGATGCATTTAAAATAATTAAGGTATCTTCTCCAGTCAGTTCTGGAACTGTTTACCTTTGCGTTATATGCAAACCCTTACATCCAGATGTATTCTTGAAAGAAGACTGGTTCGAAGACTTATATTTTTTTTAAGGTAAATATAATACACTACCATCGATGTTATGATGCCATGGGCACTATTTCACAGGAGAGTGTGTAATTACTTTATCCTTGTCATCAATTTGAAATAGAACAACCTAATATAAGACTTATAGACTTGATTGATGACGTGAAAGCACAAAGCATATTATTTTGGCATCTATCAAGGTTGTCTTACCGATCGCATAGCAGATATGATCGGACAATCTCACAGGATTTTAGGTATTAGATTCCTACATTACAAATTAGATCTTACCTCGGGGAAAAAAAATTTACTTTCCACTTAAGTGGAATTGAAATTTGTTATGTTTCACGACATAGTTAGAGGTTTTCATGTGATTTGGGGGTTTTTATTATTCACTTTTGAGCAGTTAGATAAACTTTGACATATTTGAGAGAATGCTCATGAAACTACTTAATGACGTGAGATATAATTTTTTCTTGTTTATTGCACAGAATTTTTCAAAATTTACCTATTTAACATAGACCAATAACTGAGGCAATACATTAAGTGATTATTATTTCGTGAGATAATAGCGTTCACATGTTGGTATTAATTGTAAGCAATTGACCCGAATGGTTACTGGTTTTACTCCTTTCATCAGTTTAAGTTATGATTGAGTATTATAATAATTTTTGTACATACTTAGACTCGGTCGATGCTCTGATTTTCTCACTTAATAGCGGGATGTGAATGCTTTTTGAACATCGCATTTTATATAACAAACCGCTTATAACAACAGGTGTATCATGTAATTAAGTAAAAAATTTTATTTCAAGTTATAGCTTTCGAAGCTTTTTTATAAAGCTAAATCCTTAAAAATGAGCATATGATGAAAAATATAGTACAAAAAACTGTAGTTTTGAAGCATAGAGTGAACTTGATGAAAATACAATTCAAATTTCATCTATGATATGGTAATAAGGGCTGTGATCTGATAGAATATTCTGAAAGTGAAAGTACTATTATAGTACATTTATGAGGAGGTATGAAAATTTGTGTATTATGTTGTTTGAGGTGAAATAGATTCGTGATATGATGTGATATACATGGGTATGATAAATGCTACATTATATTTGAATTTAATCAATTGTGTATATATGTTACCTAACATCTTACATATGCTTGTTGGATATATCAAATGCAAATCTAAAACATCAATAGAGAGAGATAACGATCTTTAAGTTAAATGATTGAAATTATTTTAAATAGTTTCATAAATGAATAAAGTTTTTACTGAACTTTTCGAAATTGCAAACTATATCATCCTTCTTATCCATATTAAATATGATAAATTAGCATATATCAAGTGAACTTGATTTTACCACTTAGTCTTTATTCTATATCCGATATGGTCTTGTAGCATCTATCAAGTAAACTTGTCTGACTTCTTCGTCTAACCTAGTAAAGCATTTGAGAGACAATAGAGGCATTTCCAGACTTTTGGCAGAGTGTACTCTGAAACAAAACTTAAATCTATTCTCAAGATGTCAATGAGTGAAACTTTTTGTAATAAGTTTTGTGATGACAACTGCATGGTATAGGACATTTCGTATGCCAAAGCCCAGCTATATGATCCACTTTTTTTACCTCTGGTAAAAACATGTGTGAAGAATGCTATACCATGCATCAACTAGTGCAGGTGTAAACTTGATGAAAAGCTGGTGGAGCTTTGATTACTTCATTCATCTTCAAGGATGCAGAATTTCTTGAACTTGCCATTGCACCAACTGATAAAAGCGAAAGTTACTGCAATAAAAAAATTATAAACAATTTGTTATAAATCATTAGGATTCAGAATAACACCCATACAACTTGTATTCATCAGAATTGCATCAACCTAAAACTAAGACAAGATGTTTATGATCTTGAAAACTTTGCTGGAGAAATTGACTGTATCATTGGTGACCGATGACTTCCCTAGAATAGCATAGCTTGTTACCACTCTACTCTTCCATTCAGATTGACATTACTAGGATCAGATCTTAGATAAAACTTATCATTTGTGAAATAGAACGAATTCAAACTCCTGCTAGCATGCTAATTTTATCAATATTTCAAAGCACTTCAAGAAGTAGACTTCTTGATAAGTACCTGTGAAAGTAAACACGAGCTAGATGTGAAAAATCACTTAAACTTGCTTCATGAAACCTGCAATATATTCACAATTCATTGTTGAAACTTAACTCATAAATCTAATTTATGGTAGTAGAATTTGAACAGAACAGAACTGTCAATCTCAATTCAGTTGTGGTTGATGCATTGTTTTGGAACCTTTCTTCACTATACCATACATGAGTCTTGTGTATCATAGACTCGTGTTTTTTTGCCAGCATGAACCTTAATGCAGTTGTTAGAGGTTCTCTTACAGATAACTATCTGAATCTCGAGAGGTCAATCCAACTTCATCACAGACGACAGCTAGTTTCCTCTGGTCAAAGTGGGAGTCACTGTGAATGTAGGCATGGGAATTTTTTTTCTTTAGTGAGAATAGCAATAGTCAGGTGCAACTGTCTAGAGTGGTGGAGCTTATATTTACTGCAGTGGTCATATTTTCCTCAAATCTTGATCTGCAATGATGTGGTTACCTGTGAATACCCATAGGATTGTAGTCTGTGAAATTCCTCAGCATATGAAAAAACCTGAAAAGTTGCTTATATCTATTTCCCCGATTCGCTGACAGCTATCAAAGAAGTATTGGAACTGGAAGTATTTGTACGCTGAATCTGGCAGCACATAATTCTATTGACTAATTTAAGTTCGCTGCAGATCAAGAACCTTTGTGTCCAATCGCTCGACGAATGATCACTACTTCAATAGGTGGTACGCACTGAAAGTCTCGGTAGAACACAGACTATCAAACGCTCCTGGCAAGGAGCAGCCTGAGAAGCTTCATGTTAGCTATCTTACTTCTTCTGGGCTGAATACTCCGCTGGATTCAAGTTTTTGATTAACTGAAACAATCCGTGATCTGAATGTCTAACTCCGTGGAATCAGTACGTTCTAGATTTTCTGGGTTTGTGTCCTTGACCATCGCTTAGGAAGGAACAAATGTATGGGAAACCGTGTATTTGCAACTGGTCTGATACATGACTCAGGCTTCAAGGTGTTTCAAGAATATGTTGGAACCTAGATGGGACTGGATCCTGCAAGGAAAAATTAGGAAGTGATATTGAAGACTTCTTCCCGGAAGATTCTGTGAAATAGAAGCTCTTACGTGAAGGACTCAGTTGGATTCATTTCTTCTGATAACTATGTACAAGATCCACGATTTGATTTGCTGAACAGGTCGACACACGCCATTTAATAAAGCATGAGAGATATGTGATAGACGGACTCTTGACGAAATAAATAAGGTCTTGAACTTTGTGATGTACAGCAAAACTGATGTCAAACCATGTAAACTGCTACAAAGAATGGGGTCGTAGATTAAGTACTTGGAACTCGAACGTGTCTTTTCTCGGGATCTCATTTGTGATTCACGATTAGTGAAATCCGCTACTGATTTTCGTAAATGTCCACTGCAATTAAAACAAAGCGCAATTTTCTGTGAAGCAACGGAAATCTCTAGAAATCAAGAGGAAAGATCTGGTTCATGGAATAAAATCTCAAGATCCTCGCAATTTGGCAGGTTCTTCATTTCTGCGGGCTGAGAAAAATCATCGACATCCCACTCATTCAGCTTCTGTTGCCTAGGACACTGCACAATCGTAGCTTCTCAGCATCGAGACTGTATGAAGGATAATTCTCGTTTATGAAAGTGTGGGACGGCCATGGGGTACAAAGAAAAGAGCCGCTACAGAGTCCAACAGGACAGGTGATGACGAGAGCTGTCAACCAAGTGCATCAGCTCTATATTTCATCACACTATGCAGTATGGAACGTCCCTTACTATTATAAAGTATATCTTCCTCCGAGTGCACTTGACAGCTTTAGCTTGAGTGCTTCTGTCCCGTAATTCATGAGTAGCGCCACATAACGCAAGCCTGGTGGCCAGGTGGCTCCACTCGTGACGTTTGCTGTGATTTGTTTCTCAATCTACGCGCAAGCAAATAGGAAGATTTACTCACTCGCAGAACACTTGCCGGAAGCTGCGCACTGTGCTCTCTAATCTGACAGCTTGTAGATGTCACCTTGTGCTCCACACTGTCATGTCTGTTGTTTCAATCATTGTCCTCGAACCACAACAGTGCGATCATGTTCCATCTATATTCTCATGGAAAGCGGTCATGGATCGTGATCACAGCTTGAAGTATGTCCTCTTTCAGTAAGTTATGTGACCAGTGTAAAGCATCACTGCCACTCGTGAAATCCAGAAACGAAGAAGCTTCAAAATGGTTGTGCCGTCTCCTAAATCTAAGGCTGGGATCCAGGAGTTTGGATTTTTTGCGCTGTCTGTAGCTCATGACCAGCTCGAGCTGAAACAGCTTGCGAAGGCTCAGCCTGCTTTTGGCTATGATGACAGCAATGTTGGGACACAAGCTAAAATAATCGGTCAAAGCCCCCCATTAACTGACCCAAAGCAGCGTGAGCCTCGACAGCAAAGCTGATCCAAAAAGCGTTGTACTGTAGGAATTCTTGCGCGTCATTCTGCAGCCGTTCTATAAAGGCTGACATTCCACAGACGATGGGCACCCGCAGTCCTTTTGCAAACGAAACATTCTTTGCAGCTTTGCAGCAGCAGTAGGCCGCTTCTGCAAGCGTTGTCCGGAATCCGAGTCCTCGAGATTTGTGGTGTGGGGATTCGGATCTCCGAGTTTTATTCACGCCACTCCATTTTGTTGCAGTCCACAATACAGTCAGGAAGGTGTATCTGTCGTGGAACGTAATTTAGAATGTCGATCACTCGTCGCAGGGTGCATGCAGTGACGACTGTCTGCATCGCTTTCCTCCTGGTCTCGGCGGTCCTCACGAAGGCTGACGGACGAGGCGATCGCAACCGTGACTCGAATGATAGTCGCGACCGAGGACGGAATGGAAGAGGCGGTTGGGGGGGTCGCAGTCCCTGGAGAGGTGGTCGCACTCCACCGAGCCCTCCTCCTCCAATCAGAGCTCCAGCAAGCCCTACTCCTCCAATCAGAGCTCCAGCAAGTCCTCCTCCTCCAATCAGAGCTCCAGCGAGTCCTCCTCCAGCTGCGACCCCGCCACCAGCCAGTCCTCCTCCGCCTCCCCCTCCTGCAGTGAACGATCCCGTGAGCTTCTACAGCTCGGCCTGTCCCGCTGCCAGGAATCTGGTCGCATCCACCGTCCAGTCGGCGGTCCAGAACGATCGAGGGCTTCCTGCTGCTCTTCTCCGCATGCAGTTCCACGACTGCTTCGTCAGGGTAAGCCTTCGCCGCCGTCACAGTTGCCCGACGAGGTTCGCTCGATTTAGCATCGTCCATGAGCTGCCAGGCCCGGGGGAGCTCTTGAGCATTCGGTTGTCCCACCGTGCTCTTCGTCGCTGGAGATTCTAGACCATTGGAGTGATTGACAGACTGAAGATCTCAAGTTGAAGAGCCCAAATTATCTGACGATCTATGGATACGATGTACGGGTAGATAGTCCGAGTGCCGCTGCAAATTGAGTCTAAGAGATTTTCCATCTTTCTGATCAGAGTGAGCAGAAACTTGCGAATCTGAAACGCTTTCCAGAGATCTAGCTCGTCGGAGCGCTGACAGTGAAAGAAACCGGTATGTGCGCAGGGCTGCGACGCTTCTATTCTTCTGGACTCGACCCAGTCTAGCCTTGCAGAGAAGGATGGTGTGGGCAATGCATTTTCTGTCAGAGGATACGAGGTTATCGACGCTGTGAAATCTGCTGTTGAGAATGTCTGCCCCGGCGTCGTGTCCTGCGCTGACATTGTGGCCCTGGCTACGCGAGATGCTATCGTTTCGGTAAGAAAATATTGAAGCTTATCTTTCCAAGTAGCGTCCGCTGAGAAATAGAACGGATTGCTGTACCACTTCTTACTTTGAGTGACTGACAGCCCTTTCTTGTTTTCTCGGCAAATATTCTAGATCGGAGGTCCCTCGTGGAAGGTAGTCTCCGGTCGAAGGGATGGACTGGTGTCTCTTGCAACCGAGACCCCGAGCAACTTGCCACCACCTAATGCCGACTACGCTTTCCTCGTCAATCGATTCACCAGGAAGGGACTGACAGAAAAGGAAATGGTTGTTCTCTCAGGTGCGTGATCCACTCTCTCCGCTGCAAGTAATTGTTCTGTTCGCTGCGTTCAACACATAGTCGTCTGCAAATGAGATTGTTTAATGCTGGATGATAATGTCTGAAAGCGTACACAGAAGTGCTTGCTGAAATTGTGATGAGGGAGGCCAAGTAGATAATCCAAATCTCAAACCCTCTCTTCGATTTGTCAAACCCTCTCTATCCGCTGGATTAGTGAGTGTTTAGCTGACCCCATGCCCTTCGAGTAATCGAGTGAACTGGCTAGATTTGAACAGCTGACACACTTTTCACAGAGATAGAAAAGCTCAGGAGCACAGGAAAATAAAACATACGTCAAACTTTGTAGCCCATAGAATTAAGGCTGGAAGGATCTTAGTGATTTTGAGTGTCACACATTTCAATATAGCAGCATTTTTCTGCTGATGGAAGGGATGATAGTGCAGAAAAATGCTTGGAAGACGGTCAGAAGGAAGAGAGCCAATAAGTCCCAAGAAAGAAGGCTAGGGTAGAGTATGAGTCCATCTAATACAGCCCTATACACTTCATATCTAAGCTTTGTTCTATTCGTCTACTGCATCATAAACCTCAGTGTGAACGATAGAACGTGACGGATAGTATGATGTGATACGCAATGAACAGTTCGGCCTTGGAATTTACAAGACTATTGTAACATTCTGTCTTGAGATGCTCGAACTTTTGGTGACCCTGACTCTCGGATGAATGCAAGTTTGTCTATGCGCGTCATGGAATTCAACTTTCACGTCATTCGAGAAGATGTGGTCAAAACTGCTGTTGTCGTCCAGTGGACTAATCTGAGAATGATCTTTGGTTTGCAGGAGCTCACACCATTGGAGTTACCCACTGTGGCATGATCGCGGGACGCCTGTACAACAATACGGGACCCAATGGAGTGGACCCAACTCTAGATCCAACTTATGGCGCTGCGCTGCAACAGCAATGCCCTTTCGGCCAAAACGTCATGACCGAAGTCGAGCTGGATCCAACCAACGGAGGCAACGCGTTCGACAGCGTGTACTACACAAACATTCAAGACAAGAAAGTGCTTTTCAGTTCAGATGCTACTCTAATCACAACGGCCGCAGGAAGGAGCCTTGTTCAAGCTGAGGCTACTGGAAGCACCGTGCCCTTTTTTGCCGATTTTGCTGCTGCCATGGAGAACATGATCAACATCCAAGTTCTGAGGGCACCTGCAGGAGAGATCCGCCAAAACTGTAGATTTAGAAACTAGTTTGTTCGCATGATACCTCCAGATCGGGATGCTTCATCAGATATTTTATAAATCTTATAGCGATTAGTTAGGAATTCATTCAATCACACCATTCTTTGAGAGCCTACAGGCAAACCTGCGAGGCTCTCATTTTCCGACCTTACTTAGATCGACATAATTGATCGTCATCGTTACAGTTCAGCCCGATGATTAAAGGGACGAGAATAAAAACCAAAGGCACTGTTTTTCTTGAAACTGCTGGCTGATCCTTGTTATTGTTTTATCTGAAGCGAGAATGTTCTCCCATCAGAATTACGGCCGACTGACAGTCTGAAATTTCAGCTTGATCTAACTAGTGCTTCAGATGGCTTCACTTGTTCTAAAGGTAGCGTCACGTTTTTACACCACGATAGGTCTAGATGCATCCCAAACTGTCAGCGTTCTCTGTGGCGTCTGCATACGGTGGAATTCTTTCCAAGTCATAAAGGTCTTAATTGTCATTCTTCTCGAACCACCATTCTCTTTTGTCTCTTTGTTGAATTGTACTCAGCAGGGCGCTTGATTTTAATTTCGGTGAAACAAAATAGTGTATATTCAAAACAAGTGGATGGTATGTTGTATCAACTTCGCTAAAATTCTGGCGAAACATTCCATGCTTTTGTGTCTTGTAGTCACATATTCTCCTTGACCTTAAAGTCTTATTTTTTCTTTTACTGGTCTATCGAAATCTTTCATTTTTTTGCACTTGTAACGTTGATATATGTGACGATGAGTTTGAGCAAAATTTGAGGAACTGAATGTGCATTCCATGTACGTGACATAATCAAGAAAGTGAGTCCAATCTATGGATATGGCGCATAACTGAATTCAAATTTTAAAATATGATTCAAAATTACCACGACTTAATCTTTTCCCAATATTCATTGTTGAATGTAAAGCCATTTTTGTGATAGCCAAATTGATCCGTAAGTAATTTTTTGTTATAAAAAGTTTCTCGCGATTTATTTTGGTGGACATGAACTTGTAGCTTTAGGGCATAATTTCAACTTCATATATCGAACATTTCATCTTTTATCTTAATCATAGAGTCTTCATCATGACTTTCTGATACTGATAATCAAAATATTTCATGGGTGCATTTGCTTGCATAAAGTACATAGTTATAATAATCATCTACAATCTTGATCTTTACTTAAGATTGACGTTATTTATGACATAATTAATACAAATGGAAAGGAACTGTGTCGATACAAGTGGATATATAACATCATCGATCCGCAGAAGGAAGAAAACGAACTGCGAGCCAGAGGCTAGCACCTCTGCCCGCATTGTCAAACTACATGTTTTATACCACTGGTGTCTAAAACCAGAACTGTTTTCCTCTTGAACATCAAATTATTCAATAACCTCTAACATTGATTGCGCGATCTCACCGGATGTCCACCAGATTATACCCTTCGTCAACGAGGAATGTGACCCGTAGTTGATCTCCGTTTTACTCTGTGTTTAGACCATTTTCTACCTGTTATATCGCGTTTGCAGGAACCCGTAATTAAGACCTAAGATTCAGATGCATTGTTCGTTTTTTGCACATCACGTCAAATGGTTCAGAGCTTCTCAAAATTTTGAAGTACAGGTGATCAGTATCGGAATGCCCTATACACGATCAGGAAATTCAATTCACGGAATCATTGAGTGGCGACTATTCATTTTGGAACCTACCAATTTTCATTTCCATTTTTCATTTGTAAAGATGCTGAGATCACCAGAGAAAGAGAGATAGAGAGTCAACTACAATCCTGCTTATGTTTTTCTTCATGCTGTGACATCAAGGTGATCACTCTTCTCACTTACGGCTGGAAGTGAGAAGAATGATCACTATTGGCACTTGTGGCACGTCTGTGTACCTCATCGTCGGTCAAAGTTGTCGGCCGACAACTCTTTCGGCTCGAAGATGATTGTCTAAGTTGAAACCTGTGCTGTGCTCAGCGCTTAGTGGCTCCGTTCTAGCCATAGAGTGAAGAAGGCAGAGATCGTGAACATTCGACTCAACTTGTAACCTGTTCTGTTCAGATGAGCAGTCACCAATGGGATGCGTCAGATCGAAGATGTGAGACCGGCTGCGACTAAAGACATGCGGAGCTTTGCGTGAGAAGTCTCAAAATAAGATTTCTCCGAGTCTACAGATCATTACCTGAAATAGAGTTTCACCCTCCGTGTCACGCCGCGGAAGACAAGCAAACGCCCGAATGGCCGAATGGAGCGTACAAATGGAGACCGTGTACGCATAGTATTGCACCGGTGCGGTAGATCTTCAACATCCGAGTCTACCGTCGCACCATTCAGCACGACTTCTCCGGTTTACAAAAAGGAAATCGATCCTTGCCAGACTCGAAGGTATGACTGAAAGTCAAAGCATCATTCCGTGTGATTCCGATTAAAGAACAGCACAGAGCTTCAATCTCAGCCGCATGTCATCCGCTAGATCAGGGGGAGGTGCACGATCGTTACAGTAATCTACAAAACCAAAACCAAAATACGAACTTAAATGAAATGGGCGGCTGAAATGGGCTTCGTCTAGCTGCCAATGTTGGACGGAAACATACCACTCAATATTTTGCTGCGGTTTATTTCTCTAGAATTTGGAGGCTATGGGTACGGCTCTAATCATGATCATGCAACCGGTGGAAGTCACGCAGGACGTCAAAATTCCTATCTGGAGAAATTGCGGTCGGGCTGTATTTGAGACTCTGAGCCGAAGGTTTCTGTAAAACGATTTATTTAGAATTCCACGAAGATCGGCAAGCGGATAGCTACTGAAGGGCAATTACTCTCATCTGAATCTCAATATCTAAAATAAATACAGCTGACGATCGAGTATAACGGTTTTAATCTGACATTGGAACGAAATTCTGGAGTTTTGCACAAAACCCATGAAAAGACATCGTCAAGTTGAAACATAACGTTCATCCTAATCACCCGCGTTTCCCATCACAAACAAAGAGGGAACGGAGGCAGGTCACCAGACGTCCTAACCATCCCATGAAGAACATATGCTCCAGACGATGATTATTGATAATATTCACATTCATCGTCATTCAAATTTTCATACATGCTACTATCTATCAAGAGGACCTTTATTGCTCTGACTAATAGAGTTAGAGGCGCAATCGCTTGTAATTTTTGCAGAAGATAGGAGACCGGGGCATGCACGTGCGAATACTATAGAGAGAGGCTTCCACAATTATCAAGAGTGAAACGCTGAGATCGGTTGCAAATACTCTTGAAGATAATCTTCTGTTGGTGCGGCCATCCGTTGAATGCTTGCGCATCCCGGTTATAGATGAAATGACTCTATTTCTGATAGAGCTTCTGAGCAGGCAGTCGGAAAAAGTACAGATTCACAATCATTCATTGCAGCGCATATAATTATGGAGGAAACTACCGTATGTATTCATGATGGCTATGATAAAATTTCCGAGAAATTTATGTGAATTTGTTGAAACGCTTCTCGTCTCGACCGAACACAGCTCTCATATCCACACGAGATTGCATGAGATATTAAGCCTAGCATCCAATCTCAGGTTCCAAGACTATTCGAATGTGTTCATACTGACGCTGGTCTAGGCCCGAACAAATGCCTTCGAATCACTTTCTCCCACCAAAGACTCTACTTCAGTGAACTCAGCTATTGTCATATTCTCTTTCTGAAACAACAAAGGCTGTACATATCATCATGGACGAAGTTAACCTAGATCCTCTATTGAAGTTAACCTAGATCCTCTATTGCACCCTCGTTTTCTGTAATTTGTCGATGTCCATGCATGCATGCAGCTCGAAGTCATCTCTAGATGAAAGCTTCGATTGACTCTATTTAAAAAGGATAAACTAATCTCCTAGGAGAACACTTGCCACTTGACTTGCAATTATTCTCGGACACTTCGCAGAGAAATGAATTTGCAAACGAATAGAGGGAGGTCATATAGATTTGTCCGCTGATTATCTGAGGTATGAGGTTTCCTCCAAGTTGTCTGCATCACCAAGCAGTTAGTTGTTTCCCGGGGCAGGCAAAGACGCCGCTTTTGTCTATATTGTAGTAGATTTGTTTCCTGGAGGTACGACTTGCCACTCTGGATGTTGGTATATCGGAAACGCTTCATTATCTCTTGCGTAAGTTAATCAGGCGTCGTCGTGTTTGAAAACACGTAAAAACCTGTCCAGTAGAGCTCTTTGCCTAGTTCCATGTTTCCTGGGAATCACGAGAAATACTCTATCGCTTTTGAAAGCTTGGACACGTGATTGCGTGAAAAGGTTTAAAATTTCAGTGCAAAATTCTACCGTTTATTTTTAAGTCACAAAGAAATCGAGAAAGCCTGCAAACTGATGTGAGGCTACGTTCAAGATATCCAAAGTGAACAAATGACGCCGTACTTCTCGCAATTGATCATCTTACTATCGGCGGCGAATCTCCAAAAAATACTTGCAGTTTTAAGTTTGAAGAAGCAACGACAATGACTATCTGAATGACCTGCACCGGTATGATGAACAGACACTGTCCGGTCTGAGACAAACTCGGTTGCTTTTGCATGAACAGACTTACAAATGTAAGTTTCTGTCCACTATGTAGAATTTCATGCAACTGGGCAGGCTCATTGTCGGTCTTTGTGATGAGCACATCTTTCTAGCTCCCACGCTGTTAAATATTTGTTAATTGTGAAATTTTCACAACCAACCTCTAGCAACATTTCTCCGGAACATTTGGCCACATTCTTATACGATCACGCATGCCCCTGAACGTAAACTGACGTGTGACGGTAAGCATATGGTATGTAGCTCGAGCGAGATAGAATCTTCCAAACGTGTGCATACTTTCTGTGTGACGCTTCATATAGAGCCTCCAGTTCCTGGGAATTTGTATTTGCATGTATGATGGACAAGTTGATTGTCAGTCCTTTACTAATGAATGCATGAGTCTTGAAACTTATGCTTCTCAATCATTTGATGAAAATGACATTTCAGAAGAATTATTCAAACCAACAGAGTAGCACTAGTCAATACATCATAAGGTTGGCATTGCAAGTTGGCGATCACGGGAAATTCTAAGAATTATTCAGTTGCTCAAAATTGAAGCTGAAAAGTCAATATTGACACTCATACCTGTCAGAAGTAGCACCTATACTCAAAACTGAAGAAATTGAATTTCTAAGTAGAGTAGAATTTATGCTTATTGAGAACATTATGTTCTATACTAGACGATTATATTGAGGGTTTTCATCAAAGCTATATGAAAACAACCCTGTCAAGAGTCGTAACTTAAACGACATGGAAGTAAACTCTTGCTTGTGTTGGGTATTCTTAGAATGATCAGCAGTGAAGATTAGGTTTCAGAGATTACGGCTTGCTTCACCTGCAGTTAGGATTTTGATGC